AATCAATTTTAATAGCTTCTATTTATGTTTGTATTTATCTTTAATTATCTTATGACAATAATTTTGTATGCTTAAGACTTCGTTTGAAACAATTTTTTTACTGCTTTTTAAAATAACTTTCTAGTAAAAAACTTAAATTTAAAGCTATTTTAAAAAGCATTAAGAAAGCCATCCCAAACGAAACCAAAATCTTCAAATATAATCATTGTTTAACAATAATCTCATTATAAATTTACAAAATTCTAAAATTTTCATTTTCTTATCTTCAATTAATATTAATTCTTTACCTAATTTATATATTATCAACAGTCTAATTACAATTAAATAATTTTTTTAAAAAATCTATATGATATTCTCTTATTTTATTCTATAATATTTATGAGAAATATTTATATTTTAGCCAAATATTTTTCACTCCAAAAAGTTAATTTTTCTTTTAATTGATATAACATATTATGTATGCTACGTGTAAAATATTTACTCACTGATATTTATTTATGCGCTGGTTCATGAACATGAAGATCCTCAGTTCCTTACAATCTGCCACATATATCACACGTTCTAATAAACATGACAATGAAATGCCCATTTTGACCCTTAAAACTGTTAAATAAAGAAAAAAGTGTCCATTCTTTATATTGTAATGTTTGTATATTCTTAAAGCACCCATTGTATTGTTAATTTCTTATTCAATTAGGGTTGGCCCATACATATTTGAAAATTAAAGCTTCGTCTGGGACAGTTTTCTTAATGCTTTTTAATGCAATTTTCTAGCACATAAATTATCAAACTTAGCACAAAAAACGTAGCTCATTTACTTAACCATCCGAGTTGATCAATACTTGAGTTCGCACAAACCCGACTCGGTTATCGACGCCCAATATCCAACATATATATACATATTGACACACACTATCGAAAATCACTTTGATCGGACACGAGTTTTGCTGCATATTTGAATTAACATGCATATTTCTAAAGAATGTTCAATGCTCATATGAGGAAAGCTAACATTAGAAAATATCAAGCAAGCATAACTGACTTCAATCAATTAATCCACTAAAAAAAACCCTCCTATTTACAATCAATGACAAATTTCGAGTCTTTCAATTTAGGAGTGTCAAAACGGGTCGACGGGACGGATTCGAATCCAACCCAAGTTGACCCGGATCCAAACAGGTTGACACTAACCCAACAACCCGGTTTTGCAAACGGGACAAGATTGTCAACCCGAACTTGATCCATGCGGGTTACCGGGTTGACCCGACCTGACTTGCATGGGTTAGAAATCACACTCATACACTCGCCAGCATGCGCTATAGGAGCCAGTTGCGGCACAGCAGGTCTGACCGAGTGGCTGACTGCCATCTGGGTCTCTTCACTCATGAGACGTGACATATTTTCGGACACGACGCCAGCAGCTAGCGACAGCGCGAGCGGGACAGCTGCAGTGGCACACGATGATGTATTTTCAGCTTTGACAAACGACGGCAATGACACACGATTCGGTGTTTTTGGACTTGACGAGACATTAGTAGATTGCAATTGGGTCATGCGAGTGACGCGACGATGCTGACAAGACAGGTCACGCACGATGTTCCTAGGTTAACCCGGGTTGGTTTCGAGTTTTAAGGTCAACCCGAACCTGGCCCATTTTACAAACGGGTCAAAATTACAAATCTCAACCCGACCCGACCCGTATGGCAAATGGGTTGACCGGAACCTGAAAAATTTTCGGATCGGATTTCGGATTGTGTCAGATTTTGACGACACTCCTACTTCAAATAAGAACAGTATATGTCAACAGATAGAAACCACTAATTTCCCTCGGATAAATCATAATCATTCAAAGTAACATGAGCAGCAAATGGCGAGGGTAAATAAATAGCTTGCTGATAATGTACAATACATGATTTGAATTCTGTAGTTTGAGTCATAATTACACAGTTAGTCATTTTTTGGGAGCAGAGAAAGTAAAAAAATTATATTAAAAAAAAAAAGCTAAGAAAATGATAAAAGAATATGAGAAAACTGATATAAGCATTAATACGCATGTCAAATATTCCCCCCAAAAAATATGCATGTAAAATCTATTAAGCTACCACTTTATTGTAGAATTAAAAGGGCCTGAGAAGACTGAGAAGAACAGATCTGCATGTCAGAACTTGTAAGGATTTGATCCAATTTGATGTTAGTTATACAAGTACTTTCTTTAGGCATTTCTTTGTGTAGCATTGTATAGCTTTTGGATAGAGTTTCTTAGTTTGCCAGTAAATATTGTAAGAGGCAGTAATAGAGGGATCCCCTCCAAGCAATAAGATTTTGAGTTCTGCTCTCTCCCTCCACATTCAAGAAGAAGCACAATTGGGATAACTTTTAGCCATTATTTTTCACTACTTACAAAAAAAAAAAAACTGCCATAGAAAGCAGTAAAAAAGCTGCCCCAAATGGAGACTAAAGCTACCACTTTTGTTTTGACTTCGTATGTAGTTTCCTAGTACTTCAGCAATTAGCACTGATTTCAGCACTTGGCTTCCACATGCCATATGAATATTGAGAAGTGAAGAGTACCGGTTCTTTATCTATCACAGAGTGATGAGGGTTCAAGCACTGACAAAATAATGTGTGTGCAAGTATTTCTGATTAAATTTGTTCAAAATAAAAATTAAAAAAAAAATGGCTGCAATCATATCATTAAAGTAGCTAATTTCATATAGATTTAGGAGACTAAGCACCACCATAAGATTGTCAAAGAGATAATAAATAGCACACCAACATCACGGCAAATTATTACGTCCGGCCACTGGACCTAGAAAATAGGTCCGGACATCCACTAAAAAGTTGTCACGTGGACCGTGCTTTGACTGTGCGCTTTGGGTGCGCTTTGACTGAGCTTTGGGTGCGCTTTGACTGTGCTTTACCTGCACTTTCACTGTGCTTTCGGCACGCTTGACTTAAAATTTCACGGACAAGTGTACATTTCACGCGTCAAATTTTTAGTGGATATCCGGACCTATTTCTAAATCCGGTGACCAGACGTAATAATTTGCCCAACATCACAGTTTATGTCAGAGAGATTCAAGGATCATGCCAAAAATATACCAATACAAGAAGAAATGTGTTGTGATATTGAATCGCCAAATATGTTTAGAAAACCCAAAGCATTATGAATACTCTTTGTATATTCACAATTGATAATATGAGCATTCATTATTCATGCAAATATGACGATAAATCTGTTGATGCAATGAGAAAAGCATGCAACTATACTTCCAACTTCGGGAAGATCTGAATTCATATCGAAGGCTCCAATTAAAAGAGTACCAAAGTATCCAAGCCTTTAATTTCCTAAAAATTTGGTTGCATCAATGACCCCGCCCAGTTTTTCAATTTTCAATGAAAATATAAGCTGAGGGCTCGAATCTGACTGCTGATTCCTAGCTCCAACTATATCAAATGTTGAATCGTTTTAATCTAGTGAGATTACATTGGGCCCATCAAATGAACATGTAGCATTACTTCATTTGTTAGTAACATCATCCACCATCAATATTACTCAAAAAACAGAGCTGATGACAACCGCTTGATCAATATATAAATATTATTTATGTATTTTTTTACTTTAATTAATGTTTTAGGATATGGGATCATTCTTAAGCCCGTATCTTTTTGCTTTAGTAATGGATGTCATTACTAAACATTTGCAAGAGAATGTACCCTGGTTTATGCTTTTTGCTAATGATATTCTTCTTGTTGATAAGACTAGAGAGGGAGTGGAATGGTAAACTTGAACTATGGAGGTCAATCTTAGAGTCGAAAGATTTTCGTTTGAGTAGATCTAAAACCGAATACATGGAGTGTAATTTTAGTTGTAATAGATCTGGTGAGGGGATTGTGACTTTAGGCGATCAAGTCATTAATAAGAGTACACGTTCTAGATATCTTGGGTCTATTGTCCAGAGTGATGGTAAAATATATTGGGAAATTATAAGTAGAATTCAAGTTGGATGGTTGAAGTGGAGGAATGCATCGGGCATGTTGTGTGATAGAAAAGTACCTCTCAAACTTGAGGGAAAATTCTATAAGATGGTGGTGAGACCTACAATGCTTTATGGCGCAAAATGTTGGCCATTAAAAGAAAAACATAATATTAAGTTAAGTGTTGCATATTTGAGGATGCTTAGGTGGATGAGTGGCTTTACTCCTAGAGATAAGATACGAAACGAGCATATACATAAAAAGGTTGGAGTAGCTCCAGTGGAAGATAAGATTAGAGAGAGGCAGCTTAGATGGTTTGGTCACATAAAACAATGATCTTCCGATGACACGGTTAGGAGATTAGATGTATTAGATTTGGCTTATGTTAAGAAAGGTAGAGGTAGACCTAAGAAGATTTGGTTAGAAAATATTAGAAATGACCTCTCTTTATTATATTTAAATGAGAATTTATCTCTTAACAAGACACAATGGAGAAAAAAGGATTCATGTCGCGAACCCCGGATAAAGGCTTGATGTTGATGTTGTTGTTGTTGTGTCCTTACAAGTCCTTTTTTTTTAACTAAAACCATAATGCTTATTATTGTGGTTTAATTATTTAAATGAGAGAAATATTATTGAAGTCCTTCAAAGCATGCCCTTCTCCTGATAAGATCTTCAAACGAAACCCTCTACATCACAACCCATCCATTACTTCAGGAGATTTCCTGACCGAAATCAACTGCATAAAAAGCCAATTTATGAAATGGCACAATATGAATAGCAAAAATTTCTTAATGCTAAGAAACCTTCATGGATTATAATAGATTACTTAATCTGACTGATTTTTTGGCATGGCAGATACAATTTGTTTAGCAATGCTAATTAGAGCATACCTAACAACTTTAACCTTAAATCCAAAGGTCCAAGTTCGATTCGGTATATGTTGATATTAACCAGCTAAGATTAAACTCACATAATTCATGGTCGATTAACATTGTTAGTCAGCCAACACAATTGATCAATCACTATTCTATCAAATTTAGATCAATTTTAATCCAACAGTAATGTTAGCCGATTGATAGTTTAGTTCATATCACTAGCTATATTTTCAACATTATCTTCATGCTACAGATCTGATGTTTGCCCGCAACTTTATTGTACAATAGGTTCACATAATACAAATGATGCAGTAAGTGAAAGGGTATTAAAAATAAGTTCTTCATGAATTAAAAATGCATTCACTCAAAGCCGTGCTAAGAGAACTTACAAAAAAAAAATGAAACCTACTATATTGGAGCATATGCATTTCAACTAGTTTTGCAAAAGTTAAGCTTTTAAAGGCACTAGCTTCACCTTCCTGTCAAGCCAGCTTGCCGGCGGTGCAACTGGAAAGCATCAATTTGGTTTAGAAAATGGATACAAGTCGCGTAAAATGGCCGGGTCGACAATTACTTCATGGTAAATCCAGCAACTCAAATGTTCAACCTGAAAAAGTAAGAAAAGAAGTTTCAAGTCTCCATTTGAAGAGCAATGGATAGGAAAATCAATAAGTCAGAAGTAACAACTGTAACCAATCACACGCTTAAAACTACAAAATTGTTAGCTTGCTGTCATAGTTGAAACTAAACATGAAATGCAAGTGGAAATTATTCTTCTAAATCTATTTCTTGTTATATTTTTTCTCTTAAATTCATGCTCTCTTCCACAGACAATGAACTCTTCGCAAGCAGTATTTTTCTAGAGCTGTGATCAGCTAATTACTAGACAAAGTTCAACCAGCTGCTATTTATAAGAAAATTGCTCCAAATGTAAAAGGTAAGCTTGTTATTCAAAAATAAGATGCTGCAGGATATAAATGTCCTCTACCAGCTGAGAATTACTTTCAGAAATATTATGGAAAATTTTCTTGATATAGATGGCATATATGCAAAAAGAAAAATTGGTTAGCAAATTATAGACAAATTCAAATTAAAAATAACACATTTCATAAAAAATGAAATTGCTAACATCCCAACCGTCCCTTGGCCCTTGATCCCATGGCTAGCATGGGGATCCGTTGAAGGCTCACCAAGATACGTTCTAATCTCAACCATCCCATGGCTCTTGATCCCATGGCCAGGATGGGGATCCGTGGGAGTCTCACCTGAATCACGTCAATCTACTTCCATATTTAGGTGGCTGATTTATGAAGGATTATATTAGGGAAATTATGTATGATTGCGTATTTATTTGTTTCTTTATTAAGATATCTAGTATAGATCTATAAATAGGAATAGTTTTATATAATAAAATTAGGCATTTTCCCTCTCCAATTCTCTGAATTTATCATGGTATCAAAGCAAGGCATTCAGATCTTCTTAAAAAATGACAGCGTGAGAGAGTGAAAGCTAGTTCTTGAGCTATGTTCTTGCTCACGTGCATCTAAGGCAGCCAAGCAAGTGAGATGGATTCCACTTTGTGGTTTTCTACGTGCGGCTCTCGTGCGTTGCCTACCTGGGGGCCGAACCGAGTGAAGAAGAGGATCAAGAGAGGGAGCGAGCAGGAACTGCGTGTGTGCGTGCCTAAGCAGAGACAACCAACCCCTGTGCGTGTGCTGAAGCCCTTCCTTGCCCCAAATCCCGACCGCTTCTGCATGTTCCTGATCCGCTACCCTCAAATCTGGAAAATTATAAGAAGGTAAAAGCCACCTTCTCGATAACATAAGAAATCTATCTCTCCCAAGATATCCGCCACTGGGATCAATCCCTCAAAACATTCTCGCATTCTTCGTTGTCGTTGAAGGAATCGTCATTGAGAACCTTGCCGGTCAGATTTGGACTATAGTCAGTTTGTAGGATTCGAAGCTCGTCGATAGAATAGTCCTGATACGTGGAGTTGTCCAGATGATGCACACAATGGGGAAGAAGATGACTTTTTTGGTGATAAGGCAGTTCACTGCTACAATCCAGTGTGTGCTTACAGTGACTAAAGAGTTGGTGAGCATGCAGATAATGAAGTACGCTACTTTCCTAAGTAGGAAATCGATTATGGATATAGAGGGTGAGGCTACAGAGAGAATAGAATCACTTTATCCTACCTCGAAGGAGCTAGCGTTTGTTGGTTCAACGGGTTCCTACTATCGGCCTTCATTATCGGAATTCTGAAGAATACAGGTTACCACCACCAGCCTTCATTGCTGGAATTTTGAAGAATACAGGTTCCCACCACTGTCCTTCATTGTCAAAATTATGAGGAATATGAGTTCTCATCACCAGCATTCATTGCTAGAATTATGAGGAGTGTAGATTCCCACCACCGGCCTTCATTGCCAGAATTCTAAGAAATATTGGTCCTTCTTCTTCCTTCGTGCGTCCAAGACAAGGGAGAGATCAAGCGAGAGGGCTCCCCTCGCATGCAACATCCACATTTGACCGAGCAGAAGCGAGAGAAGTCGAGCGCAGGACCTCCTCTTGTGTGCATATGGAAAGAGCTGAGAATTCCCTCTCTTGAGGGTCTAGGGCCGGACAAGCGAGAGTGCAAGACCTACAAACCTTCCTGCGATCAGACTAGAGGGACCAGATGGTCGAGCAATAGTTGTTAGACGAAAGTTATCGAACGATAGTGGTCAAATAGAGCACTAGGATTCCTTAAACTTCTAAGCTCTATATGATCTCCTATCAAGGTCTCCTTAATGTAAAGAATGGATATCTATTTATACTTTTCGATAGTGGCATTCTCTATTAATATAGCTACAATTCAAAACACTTCATCGAACAGCTTAAAAAAGTTCCCTCGATCATAAGGTGTTTTTTAAATGTTTGCCTTAATGATGACAAACTTAAGAGATCTTGTGCTCTTTACGTTTGTCTCTTCGAGAAGCTCAAATTGAATATTCGCAAGTAATATTTAGAGACCATTTAGTCCAACAATTAACACCCCAAAATTTCAATCCATACTTAAAGTGCTTAATTTAGGCTCATTCAAAGTTGGATTGGATCACTTCTAGTATTGTTGAGTTTGCCTTATGGAAACATTCAGTTCGATTATAAGCATGCTAAAATCAAAGCTTGGATCCCAAATTTAAATCCAAAAATGTTCAATTCCAATATTGAGATTCACACCTGATAAAATGCCAATTGTCCCTTATTTTTGGATGTTGAGATCTCTATTGTCTATATATATATATAAAGTCCTTAAAAATATTTGCGACACAATATTATAATTCGCATGGCACAATCACTCCTCGGTGGACCTCCCCTCGAGACCTTAAACAAAGTAAATATCCTCCATAATTTCAATTTTCCTTTAAGTTGGCACATCAATTGACGTAAAAATTGTTGAAACAATTTTACTAGAAACACTTCCAAATTGCTCAAATTTAGTTGCAAATGCCTCATTAGGCTCTGAAAGATCTAAAATTGAGTTTGAAACAACAACAAAATAATTCCAGAGACCCCAAAAAATGCTTATTCAAGCCTAAAATTGGGCAAAAACCAGGAGAGCAGCACAGTTCTCCCTTGTAAGCTTCATTTTTTTTTCCATAATAGAAAAAATTGTCCAGCATGAGTTTTACTATTGGAGATGGTTAAGGTTTACAGTCCCCATGTTAAGATTCCAATTTTTCCTTGCAAAATGTTGATTGTCCTCAAACATACAGAATTTTAAGGTGAGATTTTTCGCCCCATTTTAAGACTCCAATTTTCTTCTATGAGAAGATCATCGTCCTCAAAGTTTAATTAAAAAAAAAAGAGAATAACGTAGCGGCTAATCACAGCTGAAGTGATGCAAATATGTTGGTGAAAAGATGTTCTTCAAAAAAATTAGCAGTATTTTGATTCTATTTTTTAAATGATTTTGACAAATCTTCATGAATTTCTCCATTTTATTCACATTGTATTCATCTAATTTTTTAAACAAATGATAATATGTAAAGATTTAATCCTTTTTTTTGCTAAATAGCAAAAATGATAGCTTTAAATTTTACAAAAAGTTAAATTTCTTAGTCTTTTTAATATTTTATTAATTTGATGTTTAATTAATTATTAATTCAATGTAATTTTCATACACAAACCTAAAAAAATTATGATTTATAATTAAAATCTATAACATTTTAAAAAAGTTGTGCGTGAAATTTGAGCCATGCGTCATTGTCCATGCATGGCGCAAGTAGCGTGAGCTATTTTGATGTGTTGTGTCGCGTCAAGCAAATAGTGTCATATGTGCACCGCATCGTGTGCTATTGACATTTATGGTGAAACCATTGATAAAAAAAATTATTATATTTGACATTGTTGGCCATCTTCAAAATTTTTTTTCATATTAAATGCCTCCATCGATTATGTAAAAAAAATTATAAATTGTGATTTCATCAAATATGTCCCTTCAATAATCAGAGGCTTTGAAAACTTTTTATGTTTTGTTCTTTTGCCACAAAATCCCTAACTTTTTTTTATGGGTGTAGATTAATCCTTGGGATAACTTCATAGATTTTATCATTTAATAGGCTAGAAAATTCATGAACCGCAACTTCAAAAAATATATTCATTTGACAATTGAAAATTTCAATAATTTCTTGCGATTAGTATGCATGCCATACTGGAATTTTTTTTATGCTCCCCTTGAAGTGTAGATACTCCAAAAAAAATTTAATTTTTTAAAGTATTTGTTTTCTAGAAAATATTTGAGTGGCTAATGGATAATAATTCCCGCACTATGTTGTTGTAGTAAAAAAAATTGTTTAAGCAATAAACAAATATATAAAGGAACTTGATCTTTATATTCATATGATTTTTTACTTCTAATTTTTCATATTGTGGGCAAAAGAATACAAATTTTAGATATCGAAAGTCTATAATTCAAAGCTATGTTGCACCGATACAGAAACGACACGATATGGATATGGGACACATCAATTCTTAAAAATACAGGATACGGGTACGGCGCAGACACGGCATTATAATTTATAAATCATACATAATAATTAAGAAAGCAATTAAAACATAATATTTGAACTTACAAAAAAATATTAAAGTAACATTATTTGTAGATCATTTGTAGCCTTGTAGCTTTTAATATCAAAATAAAAGTAAGCATTAAATGTCTAGTACAACAACAAAAGCATAAACATAAATTATCTAGCACATGAAGTTTAAACTATGCAATAGAAGGAATGATATTATTGGCATTTTTATTGGTTTGTATTTGAACTTCTATATCATCTTTAATAAATATCATAGCTTCTAATTCAGGCTCATCAAATGAAAGATTATCAATTTCTAATATTCCCATATCATCAAAAGACTCAAATCCATCTCAGAAATGAGAGAACCTCGCTCGCAACCGCGAAAGTAAATATGACGGGCCTTTTTTCGATTTTATTTTGTTTTTTAACGGGCGCGTATTGGACAATACGCGTGTCCTTTTGAAATTAAATAGTATTTTAATTGGATATGGGAAAGCCGTATCCGACACGTATCAATGTCGTATCAGAGGTGTATCTGTGTATC